GGTTAATCCTACAATTTATCAGTCAACTAACGATTAGATAGATAGAATTATAGTTGAATCTCAAAACTAGAAAGAAAATTTGTGCAACATATATTTTGATTTTAAGGGAGGTCCACATATGTTTCCAAAATAAAAGAGAGATCTCTATAATTTACATTAAATAGAGGAGAGGTTGATGTGTTTTACTTTATTTTTTTGTTATGCTTTTTTTAACAAGAAGATAAGTTAGGTGAGTTGAGTCATAGGCTCATTAAGAATTAGAAAATGCCTCAATATAATGACTAAAAATGCTCAAATAAACCAACCTTCAATCTGATGTGTCCTTTCTTATTTAGAGAAATGACAGTTAAATTATGCATAATCTATCTAAACTTTGGATCATGTGATTAGTTTTGCATATTACTTATCTGCACACAATTTGAAATTTATGGGGATTATATTTAAATATCAATCAAAATTTGACGGGTTACATATGCATATAAAAATCAAATTTAAAGGAATAGATAAATGATAGTTGGGGTTGTTGCATGCACTTAATTAAAAGAAAAAATCACAAAAAAAATATTTATTAAATTTTAAAAAGATAAATAGGTCATGCTTACTATTCTTGTCTTGGTTTTTACATGTCAAAATCTGTCAAATTCACTTATTTATCATTTTAAAATTCAACAAGTATTTTTTTAAAAAATCATTTTCACCTAATTAAAAGCTCCTAGAGGTTTATGGTTAAGTTTTAAAGGTTAAGAGAAGATTGCTTGTCCATGATCCAAGGTTCAGAAAAATTGTGTAATTTATCCTTGAAGAACTAGCTAATTATAATAGTGTTCATGAATAGAGAAACAATCAATTTAACCGCAAGTAATAAGAGGGGTTGAGTGCATCATGCATAATTAACATAGGAAATAACAACTGTTTAAGGTAAATGATTCTGATTAGTAAGGCAAAGCTTTAACTATATAGTACATGCCAATGCCAAGGCCGACAATATAGTTTCGTATGTGGCACGGCATTTATATAAACAATATAGTTTTCATTTGCGTCAATCCGGACAATACCAATATGGCAAAGAGATATTGTTAATCCTTTAACATGGCAGTGGTGAAAGTCCAACTCGCGTTTGCACTGAAGAAAATCCAACTCACTTTGCATGATGGTATATATAGGTCAAGAGCGTTAATTAAGTTTAATAAAGGAAGATCTAAAGAGGGAATTTTTTATCTTGAAATATTCGGCATACATTATTTTAAGTTACTAAAGTTATTGATGATTTCTGCCTGCTTGTAAGAAAAGTAGTAGATCTCGTTCATGCATGTAGATGAATGGTGCTTCCTATCGCCTAAAAAAAATAATTTTGCCCTGTGTTATTAAACATTTTGAAAACTTTTTCTCTTCTTGATTTAAACTGTTTCACTCCCTCTAATTATATATAATACAAATTACATACATTAAAAACTAGTTAAAATTTATTAAAAATAATAAATATGTAAAAAATATAGTTTAATTTTTGAAAATACTTTTATTTAGAGAGAGAATGAATGAAATGATCGAGAGTGAGATAACATGTTATTAATACCGACAAAAATAAAAACAAAAACAATTCAGATATCCTTTCAGTGTACCTTGTAAATAGAATAAGTTCATCTCAAAAACTCTCTTCTATATAGGACTGGAGCCAGGTGGAGTATTTTTTAATTTTTTGAAAATTAATATTATTTTATATAATGAATGTCTTTTTTACAAAAATATTAGCTTTCTATTTTATATTAAAATAATGGGGAGAATCCGCAAAAAAAAAGTTTGAAATTATTAACCCCAATTAAGGAATTCCTCTAAAAAAATGTGTTGTTATTTATAAATCAAGTATTGTAAAAACCTATTAAAGTGTGAAAATCAAACTTAATTTAGAATTTAATAATTTTAAACTTCTTTTTGTAAGATTCTTGCCCATGGTTTCGAACATTCAATATGGGTATTTAACCAAGTGAATTCATGTCATTTGACCAATCTAATTTCTTCAATTCTTTCTTAATTAAAAAAATTGCCACAAAAAAACATCCTTCATTCAACTCTCTCTTCTCTATATTTTCTTATTTCTCTCAAAGATAGTCCAATAATGCCTCGGTGTTGGGCAACTGCTCCCAACTTTGACGGTAGCTATCATATCAGCAACTTGACTATAAATTTGATAAGCCATTTTCACTATCTTTGCCCTTTTATTTTTTTTTTTTATTTTGACCTCAGATCATTATCTTTTCCTAATAATTTGCCATTGTAATACAGGAAATGTTAACTGTCTACATCCAACCAACTCGATAATTAAAAGTAATTTGGCCTATCTTTTTGTTTTTTTTAAAAAAAGAAAAGTAATTTGACCTATCAAGTCGCATTTATCTCAATTAATTAGTACAGTAGTGGTTAAATACCCTCCAAAATAAGGATGCCCCCCTCAACTTTAAATCTCTTTCGTGTGTGTGTGTATGCAGAATCTGCCACAAAATAACACGACACCATAACTATATAAAAGAACTAATTTTTTAAAATACTTAAAAAAAACTGACCCAGACTCAAAAAGCATGCTGCTGACTCATGGTTCAGAAAAAGTTATTTGCACAATAATTAAAAAAAAAAATAGCACTAGACTGGACTGTCAGCCATTAAAAAATAAAAGCAAGTAACAAAAGGTCTCTACAACTTTATTTTATATCGATTAGCACAAACTTTTGGATATATACGAAAATTCCCAAATGCATAAGAAGAAAAAGAGAAAGAAAAATGCATTATGCAAATCGATGTCGAGAAGTTTGACTGCACTGTTGAAATGATGCTGGTGCTTCTGGCCTTGGATTCAACTTTCAGCCTTATACATAGGTTGATGGTGACAGTGAGGCGATAATGGCACGGGATTGATTTTATTAATAACTAGCTTCACTTTTAATTTGATTTTAAATATAATATTTTAATTTATTTGTCTTCATGTTGTTTATTTTTTTAAAGTAGTCCTTATAATAATTATACAAATTAAAAATTCTATCAAGTGATAGTTTTAACTAATACATATGATTAGCAAGGGTATTATAGAAAAGACAACACATTTGATAAAAATAGCTAAATTAACAAACTTGCTTAGTCTACTCAAATTAGTCAAGTTGCTCTTATATTAGAAATCAGAGTTAATATTTAGAAATGGAAAAATTGCTAAAAAAAATCCCCATTACAAAATCCACTGGCCAAAGGTGTCAAAGGAGATAAGTTCCTAGGAAAATGCAATTTGTCTTGTGTAACTCTCCTTTCATTGTATGCAACATATTGTTAACTATATACAAATGTTTTTAGTTTGCACATAATTGCGAAAAAGTTGCATCAGCTGAAAATAGGTTACACTTGGATCATTAAACAAATTCCAAATAGTTTTGGGTAATAAATTTTACAATGGGGAAACTTTTAAGAAATTTTTCTTTTAAACATTTAGCATTTCTAATTTATTTAATATTCTACTTTAAATTTTATTTGGATTGGGACTTACATTAATTTTTTTGGATTATTTTATTTATCTAAGATGTAATTTATTTTCGTTTTATTCTATCTTTTAAAGGATAATCATAATGTAATTTAATTAGGCTTTGAGTTAGAATACCATAAATTGATGTAGGATTTTTTATTTGTCGGATCTTTTGTAATAGATTAAAACAAAGAGCAAATATTTCAGTTTCTGGCTCCCTTGGTTCTTTTATCCAAAAAGGAAGAAGTTTTTCGTTAATATCTTCCTCCAATCTTGCTATCTTTCAAATTCTGATATTGCATCGCAATGAAAATTGTGAAATACACTAAAAAAAGGTGATTTATGGTTTTGATGAATTGATATGTCTGTCATGATGTTAATCATAGATGGAAAATTTAGTTAGGTGAATAGTTTTCGAAGGATTGTTCCTATAATATATATATATATATATATATATATCTCCTGTGTCACTAGCACTGAAAAAATTAGCTGCGTTAGTAAACACCGTAAAGTTTAAAAACATCTTCTCTTTCTAATAAAGACAATAAAGGCACTTTTTTGGTCTTTTAATATTGAGAAGTTGTATGTATTAAAAAAATAACAAGCATGAATTCTGCAGTTGACAACCTAAATTTTAGCATGTTAATCTATGGTTGTTACTGTCGCATGTACTCCTAATATATTTGTTTTCGATTCCTTTAATCCTTAAATGCCATTATATTGCTGACGGGAACCTTCAATAATATTCTCCCTTAAAAATTCTAAAAGCATATTTTTTATTATTAAGTAAAGTAATTTTCCTGGTGATTTCAATACCTTATTCTTATTTATAATACATCCAGTGTTCTAAATTGTAAATAAGATTAAGGTAGTAGACATAATTAAAAAATAATATTGGAAGATGTTACATCTGACAAAAAATAATAATATCAAAGTACTGAGTGCACCATATTAAAAAAAAAGAAGAATGCTCTATTGAAAAATAACATCAAGATGTTGGATGCTACTTTATCCTTGATAATTTATTAGTTGTTTTATCTAAGTGTGGCAACTATAAATGTATACTTTAGACGTTACATGATTATAAAGAAATATAGACTTTAAATGATTTAAATAAAACTAATAAGATTATGGACTGCAAATACACATTTGTTAGTGAATGAAAACGAACTGAAAACTTATAGTGTAATAACGTATATATATGACACATAATCAATACATCAACAATCAAAATCAGTATGTTATTGTCAACACAAATATAAAATCTTTAAAAAGTTGCATATTCATAATTCACAAATTGAAAGGACAGAACCGACCAAATCATATAACAATCTAGAGAAACAAGTGCAAATGGACAAGTATAATACATTTAATGCGTTATGGTATGCTTTATTGTTTCCTATCTTTGCCCAGAGAAGATGCTAATTGGCATAGCAATAAAGCATATGCACTTTGGTTGTTCAAATCGATACGTTTTCGTGATCTTCTGGCAAACATCTCTTCAGGTCCTCTCCCTAGCTTTTTTTGCCTGCAAATTTCAGACTCTTTCCTATGAGATCATTTCAAATGATTAAGCACTACAGAAATAATGTTCAAAAGCTGCTGCATAAAGTTTCAAGATGAGGATGATTGAAATGATATTATAGAAAGTGGAGAAAACAAACCTCTTTTTCCCAATCTGTGCAACTTATTATGACCAATAGTATAATCACTTGGCAAATTGTACCACTTGTTATTCCAAGCCAAAGGCCTTTCCCTCTCAAGTGTACCAAGAAACCCAATATTGCAGAAAGTGGAATGCCAACAACATAATAAGCTCCAAAATTTACATATGCTCCTATGCGTTGCCACCCACTTCCCCTAGCAATCCCTATGTTGCGAGAAGAGTGTTAGATTACATAATACCCACACAAAAAAAACATTTGAGTTGGGATATATATATAATCAATAAAATTTTAGTTTTGTTTTATACCACCTCCTATCTTTTTTATAAAATTCAACTAATCAAATTCCATGATTTAAAAAATATGTTGATAATAGTTAAAAATAATAAATATATAAGGAATGAAACTGTTTCCCCCCAAATATACTCTTATTTATAAGAGGGTAAGTGAGAGGGCAGAATAATGAAAAAAGAAAGATGAAAAAATGTATGAAAAAAGGACAACCTGTAAGGGCACCTAGACAACCTCAAATTATATCTTATAAAAAGAATCAAAACAATTCAAAAATTTAGATCTTATAAAAAGAAACTGGAGGGAGTATATATAATAATGGATGAAAGATTTTTACCTGTAAGGGCACCTTGTAAGGAGTCTGCAAAGACAGATAGAGCTAACAAAGGAGCTATGTCTGATACATAGCCTATCACTTCAGGCTCGTTGCTGAAGACATGTCCTAAAACATTCCGGCTTGAGAGAACAATTGAGCTCACTATAAGTGCCTCACAAGCTGATAGAATCCTTGAACATAAGGCAGCCACACGTGCTGCCTGTGCATTTCCAGCTCCCAATGCATTTGAAACTCTTGTGCTATAAATAATACCAGACACAATAATAATATTCGCCAATGAGAAAAATATTATATTCAATAATAATTGAGAATTTAAAAAACCACACTTCATAAATCATGAATTATGATGCAAACCTTGCTGCTGAGCCAACTGATTCTGGTATTGAATAAATAGTGACGTTCATTGATACACTGCTCACAGAATTCAAATTTGTACACAGAATTAGGTTGGAGGTATATTATTATTGTGGAGCCAGTTTCAGTGCTCATTGATGAGTGTTTCAGTGCTCATTGATGAGTACTATGGTAGTCATCAAATTGGATTATCTAGATCCTTTTTTTTGTACTTTTGTTTTTTAATTTTTTTTATTTAATGAGTATAGAATCCCAAAAAAAACAGTATCTCAACTATTAATTTTTTCTAAAAAATAATTTTTTAACTTAAAGGTTATCAATTGAAAATTTTAAATTTAGACATGAAAATAATTTTTTTGTACTAGTTGCATATTATTGTTGTGGATTAATGTATATAATGGTTAAAAACAAAAAAGAAAAAAACATGAATAGAAAAGCCATATACCATACGGCTAATATTGAAGTTTCAAGCTGTGGGTTTGGTCGTAGGAGACCAGCGAGCAATGTAGTCACCTCATATGACCACCATTGAAGGCTGAAACATTCAAATTATTAATAACAATATGAATGAATATATCGATCTATGTAAAGGAAGCTCTTTTTATTAAGTTAGGGAGAAGATCATACCAAGCCATCACAGCTGAAGGAACCGCGAGGCGAAAGAAATCTCTAATCCCACGGAAAAGCTCCATGGAAATTGGAACCCGAGTCTTTGCACAAGAATCAGAGAATTTCATATATAACGCAAGTAACATCACATTCAACAATAAGAAATACCAATGGCAAAAGCTCCTCCAAAGCGAGCCATTCAGATTTAAAAACCAGCGTCCAACAAAAACTACGTGGAAGGTGATAGTTAATGAAGAAGAGATCACAAGAGGAGTGATCATGCTCTGCATAAGATAGAATCGAACCAAGGCTTGAAGTATTGCGTAACCAAAGAGAGCAGGAATTAAGCAAACTGCAAATTTTCCAGCTTCATGTGCAATTAAAGGGTCTTGACCAAGCACAACCAATACCCTCCCTAAGTTAAGCCATAGCATAGATAGAGGAATACAACATAAAAGAAGACAGAAGATGCCAGTTTGAATCTGAACACCAAACTTCTTATATTGCTTAGCTCCGTAGGCTTGCCCACATAGTGTTTCCAGTGCAGAAGCCAACCCAAACTGTTCAGGAAAAGTATACAAAACCCAAAATACAAAATGGAATTATTAGTTTTCAATCAAAAGTTTAAACCGCACAATGCAAGATAAGATTTTGTAATTGTAAAACAGCTAGTAGTGGGAGACTTACTATGACACTAAAGCCAGTGACAGCACAAAGAGAAATGGCAACACCAGTACTAGATTGGGCTAGTTTTCCCAAGTGACCCACCATCATCAAAGCAATAGTTTGCAGAAAGAAGGTTGAATAGTTCACAGCCACCATAGGCCCTGCCACACAGATAACTGCTTTCACTTCTTTAGCAAACACACGCCATGTTAGGCGAAGACGATCCTCTTCTTCTTCATTCACCACCTCCATGGCCTTCTCTTGACGATCATTTTCCACATTCCCTTCTTTCTCTTCCTCATGGGCACTCTTCTGCGTACTTAGAATGGCAGGAGACATCAATTCTGGGTTCTGATTCATATGTTTGTTGGTTTTACGTCGAAAGAAGAAAATAGAAGAGAATGGTTTCTCCTGATGAAGATGTTCTATACATTTTGCAAAATCAATCTAGTGTCCTATTTATAGGCAAAATATGTTATGATCCATGGTGCGGTGGTAGGTCCATCCTCGTGTATAGATTTTGCGCAGGCGAAATAGTGTCCCCCTTCAGACAAGGGCGGACCCAGCATGGAAACTAAAGGGGCCAAGTTTTGAATCATGATATTCCCAACATATATATACATGTGTGTTTTGGTTATTTAAGGTTTCATTATATATAATAATTACTTTTGTTTAATTTATAACTTAGACGATGGCTAGAGAACAAAGTAGATTAATATATATTTTAAATTTCAAAAAGATAAAATGCTCAATCTTTATAATAATTTATCTGTTTTTTCTAATAATACTGAGAAAAAAGAACTAACATGTAAAGCTAAGTGTTTTTTTTTTTTGTGTAAGCTCAGAATATTCCTAAATCATTTTGGGCTGAAGCCTAACTCTCTGTTGAGTTGAGGATATTAAGGTGAAAGCTCTATCAACAAATATATTTTTCAAAATTCGAACTTATATATATATAAATATATTTTAAAAAGGTAAAACCACTTTTTTTTTTTGGACCAGAAAAGGTAAAACCACTTACCATCTCTGTTTCTAGAAGTGAATAAATAACAGCCATTCATACACGATTGCGGATTCTCACACCCATTCTGTATACACTGTATGTAAAACGCGGGAATGGCTAAGGAAGTGGAGGGGCCTACTGGGTAACGTGCCCCTTCACATGAGATTCTGTAGTAAATGAAGTAGTCTTTTCTTAATTTAATTATTTCCTTTTATCTTTTATGTGGTTTTTAATTTAATTTTTTCTGCGGCGGAGAATCAAATCCTTGTTAGATTATTCTCATCTGTTACATGTATAAAAGTATTAAAAACTGGATTAGTTTATCTCATCATAAAAAAAAACTACTCCTCTGATTCTTAATGTATAACCTAATTAACTAATTTGAGTATAATAGGATATTAGTTAAATTAATTATATGATGTGTTTTTTTAATACCTAAGTATTTTTCTTAATTTTCTTCTTCCCTCTCTTACCTGATTATTTAAAAAAAAAAATCAATAGAGTTAACTTAGGAAAAAATTGATAAACATGTGAAATAGTTCTTACAATTAGGACTAATATAAACTCTCTAGTTAATTCCTACATTAATTACGGGATGAGTATCAGCACCACAAAAAAAAAAGTACCAGATGAGTAGTTTATGTCGTGTAAGACATTAATTGAGGTTAGTCTGATCGTGGTTGAATTAAGACATTAATTGAGGGTTAGTCTGATCGTGGTTGTGAATTATAGTTGAATGGATTATAATTAAATTAATGTTGTTTAAATATGATTTATATAAAAATGAAAAATACTGTAAACATTTAACTTCAAAAAATATATTAAAATACACACTCTTAATTAGTCTTACCCTCAAATACTGTATTACTCATCCTTTTCTTAATATAGGACCTAATTAGAAAGTTAATATTGATTCTATATGTAAGACGACCTTATTTTATATATTTATCAATTTTTTTTAAATTAACCTTATTAATATCCCTAACAATAATCAAGTAGAAAAGGGAGTGAGCGAGTGACGGAATTAATAAAGATGCTTAAGGTGTTTTAAAGAAAAAACGTGTCAGATTAACTAATTTAACTAGCTAACTTCTTAATCTACTCAAATTAGTTAATTAGTTCTTATATTAAAATAAGAAGAGTACTATACTTACATATTTTCCCAAATATATGCATGCAAAATTAAGATTTCAGGAAATTAAGTCAAAGGCATTGCTTGCACAAAATCTAAATTCTAAATTAAAGTTGATATATGAGAACAATAATCCCAATATAAGTGGAGATCATAGTTTGCTTTGTGTACCTTTTGGTGGATAAGGCTTTTATTTCTCCTTCGTCTTTGAATTCCCTTCTTAGGTTTTAGGTGATTCAATAATTGAGGTAGCCCTACTAGCCAGAAAAACAAAACGAAAAAGATTAACGCAATAAAGAAGGGTTGGCCTCACTTAAAAAAGTCAGTATGAAGTTCACCCTGGCGCTGATTTTTTTTTTTTTTTGGGTGATCAAATGGATATTCAAGCTATTATTATAAATATTTTTTCTTGCGAAATACAGAGTTTTTTTTAAAGGATTTCAGTCCTGGACTGCTTTTAGCTAGTCTCTATGCATTTTTTATGCATCCTTTTATTCCATTAAAAAAAAAAAAAAAAGAGCCGCCTTGCCTATGCACACCCGCTTCACACACAAACTATATAATATACATATACATTGTTGATATATTTAAATCTAAACAGGACATATATTTTTTAAAATATTTGTCATTATTTAATATTCATTATATTATTTATCACTAAAAAAAGATATGGACATATTAAATTTTTAATTAAAAATATAATTGGTAATTATAGAAGATTTATCATCTAGTACTTTTTAATTATAATTTTTTTAATACAATAAATATTAAAAAATGCTTTAATTTTTTTAAAAAGCTGTGCTTATAAAAAAAAATTGATTTGAAACTTGATTGTATCATGTGGCTTGTTGATAATTCATGACCCATTTTCTTATTGGCTAGGAAAAAAATAGATATTCTGCAAAAATCCCCAATAGGGTCGTGTGGCTAAAAACATTAAAATTTTTTAAGTGCGAGATTATAAGTTCAAATCCCATATAATAGGTGTGTGTGAATTATTGTAAAAGAAGAAAAAGAAAAAGGTAAAAGAAGAGTTGCTTCTTCAATTTCGTACTTGAATTTCACCCAATTCACAATATTATTGTGTTTGTATTTCTAATCCTTAGGCGTTCGGTAAACACAAAAATTATTTTTATACAATCAGAATAAAACTTCTTTCACATACTTATTTTGTATGCTGTAAAGTTACTTTTAAAATCATAGTTTATGAGATAGAAAATTAGAGATGTATCATATATAATATATAACATCGTAACAAAAACAAGCAAATAAAAGAGAAGACGGGCCACATGGGCTGATGCTTCATGCTTTATACCCCAAAATTATATTATGAGGTCCACAATTAACGCGTGAGCCCAAGTTTTTGATGTAGTGAAAGAAATGTGTCTTCGATAGCACGAACACACGGATGGAAATGGCCTTAATATCTGCTTGGTTCACAGGACAGGTGGGAAAGAGATGGGATTTTAATGGTGCGACCGGAGGAAAATAAAAGGATAATAAAGAGTACTTTATTGTCAATAAGTTGTTAGTTGAGATATTAACCGTCACGTAAAGGAGGAAGACACAAGTTTAAATCCTGAGACGAGCACTTGTTGAGAGAGCTTTAATCTTTATACTCCTGGCCTGACAGAAATCAATCTCAAGTCCAAAGCGAGTTGAGGATATTCTGTATTATACCCAAAAAAAAAAAGGTACTTTGTTTAACTGGGGAGCAAAGGGAAAGGAAAGAAAATAAATAGGCACGACTTCCCTCTCTCCTCTTCTCATCATCTTCCCCTCTTACGGCCAAGACTATATGAAAAAATGGCATTGAGGTCCCATGGCACACAAAAATTATAGAAAAAAGGTCTCAGAAAACTTGGTAATGAATTTGAAGTCCCAAAAGGACGTGAATGCAATTTAGCAAAGTATGAAAAGACATTTCTACCCCCTAATAAGATGCTACCAAAGCTACTAAAAGTTGCTCTGTTCCAAACTGAAAATCGGCACCTATCAACAGAAGACAAGAGGAAAAAACAAACCTAACTTCATCTTGTTCCTTCCTCGTTCTTATCTAAAAATCTTGCCCACTCCACTCGCATCAACTATTGTTAAAAGTAGGGGTGTTCACGGGACGGATCGAGACCGGGACAGGCCCGTCCCGGTTCCGTCCTGATGAACAGTAACGGGACAGATTTTCTGTCGTGTGTCCGGCCCGTCCGGGGGTTGTCCCGGTCCCGGTCGGGACGGGACGGATCCGGGACGGGACCGGGACGTCCCGAAATAATTTTTTTAATTTTTTTAAAAAATCTAATTTTTTTAGTTATATTTTTTTGAGCTTAAATCTTATAAAAACATCTTTTTTATTTGTTGGGCACTCTTAAACAAAAGCTCAAAATATTACATATAATAGTTATTAAAAATTCTAAACAAAAGCTTTAACACAATAAAAACTTGCTAAAATTCTAATAATCAATAATCTCAAATCATTAACAAATATAAAAACTCTAAATAAATATATCCATAGTTCCATACAATAGTCTCAAATCTTAAAAAATATGAAAAAAATGATATTATATAAAAAAATTAAAAAAATTAATTTTTTTTAAAAAAAAGGAACCGGGACGGGACGATCCCATCCCGTGTCCCGTCCCGTCCGGTTTGTCCCGTCCCGAAAAATTTCGGGACGGATCCGTCCCGTCCCAATAAGACCGGGACCGGAACGGGCCGACCGGGACGGGCTGGCCTTGAACACCCTAGTTAAAAGTTGCTTATGTTTTAGTTTTGTGTGTATTGGTCATTTAAGTTAGGAATTTATGATAGATGGGTAGGGTGATTATGGATGCTCTGTTTTTAGATATATTGTGGGGTGGATTGAAGGTGGACTTGCCCTATTTGGCATGATTCAGTGGGAATTGATGAAAAAGATGAATATTAGTGTGGATAGAAACCCCTTACTACGAATTAGAAAACTCTGTTATTAATATAGGTCGCGATAGTTGTCAGTATAGCTACTTAAGTTGTTAATAATAACTATGTCGTGCAGGCTTACATTTAATTGGTTTTGTTATGTTTTTAACATGGACCATGACCTTCTATGCCTTTAACTCATTGATGGATGTTACAAAAAGAGGAGGAAGAGGCAATAAAGAAGGGTGAGCAACCACATGAGGCAAAAGAAGAAAAAGGGCAAAAAGAAAAACCATTTTGAACCCAAATAAATGATGACTAGAGAGAATATTTTGTAAATAGAAGTGATAGGAATTTTTTGTAAAAGTCACAATACACATCAATAGCTAGTTTGACATTTGATACATCAAATTGTATGTTTTCTTTTTTAAATAAGTTGTGAAATTAGTGTAATTATATGTATATGAAGCTGTAAATTAAAATTGGCTACAAACTGATATGTTACATTCTGATATGTAATCAGTTGTCATTATCCACACCCATTATTATTAATACACTTTTCTTCTCTTGTCATTCATGGCACTATCAGTTGTCAATTTATGTGCTGATATGAGTTTGGAAAAATATGATTTTAAGTTACATAATATCATATGACGTCATATAATGTCATCAATTCCTCTAAATTAATACATTTTAGTTATAAATGTGATAAAGAATTATTATTAAAAGTCAATTATCATTGATAAAAAATTATGAAATTACTTGTTATTAATGACACATTCACTTGTTAATGGTAACACTGTGACTTGTCAATAACATCATTGTGACTTGTCAATTTATGTGCTCATATGATCTATTTAAGTTTTGAAAAAAAATGTCATTTAATTAACATAAATTTCAATAATATATTCTGATTATAATGTGATATAAGATGATATAATATTTCTATTTTAAGTGAAATATAATTGAATTTCAAATTTGAATCAGTGTTCGTTGCGTCAATTGTTAATGTTTGCACTAGAACTTGGCAATTTCCTTATTGGTATATGTGATTTTGAGAATTGTTCTAACTTTTATTTTAAAGAAACAAACAATATAACATCGACAGGACGTGAACACCATAAGAAACACTGTAAACAAAATTCAATATGTACGGATCAGGTGGTTCTTATTGTAAATCGTAGCAAATAAAGTAACTTAGCCCAACAAAAAAACTCACATATCAGTCTAGACATTATATAACTTGAAATCACTTTTTTTTTAAAAAATTTACATCAGCTGATAAATTAGCAAGTGATAGTGCAACAATTGACAAGTCAGAGTGCTACCATTAATAATTGAATGTGTCATTAGTGATAAGTGATTTTATAATTTTATATCAGTGATAATTGACTGTTAATAACAATTTTATATCACATTATAACCAAAATGTATTACTTT